TCTAATAGAGTTGTAAGTAAGGCTGATATCGATGAGGTAACATCATTGAAAGAGGTCGGTGTTGGCACGTCACAAGTAATTAACTATTTAACACAACAAGCAGGGCTATCATAATGTTGGATTTACACATAAAGACCTCTACAATTCACTTCAAATAGGTAAAGCAAAGGAAATAGTCAATGGGGATGTGAATGCGCTGATTGCTTACTTTGATTATAAGAAACATGATGATCTCGGGTTTTTTATGACATACTCGGTAGACGAATCAGGGACATTGTATAATCTTATTTGGTCGGATTCTACATCAAGATCAGATTACACATGCTTCGGTGATGTAATTGCGTTCGACACAACGTACAAAGATAATTTGTATGGTCGATCCAATTATTCCTATTGTCGGTGTCAATCATCACCATAAAACAATTGTGTTTGCTACTGCCATAATCGCTGATAAGACGTCCCAATCTTTCGAGTGGGTGCTAAAGAATTTTTTAGAAGCCATGATGAATAAATCGCCTATTTCAGTTGTCACCGATGGGGATAGGGCTATGCAGAGGGCTATCAAATCTGTTACCCCTTATGCTAAGCATATTATGTTCTTGGCATCTTTCTTGCAATGCACAAGCTAACATCAGTGACCCAAAATTTACAGCAACATTCTCAAAATCATGGCTTCCTGGTGGACAACCGACGAATTTGATATTCATTGGCGTTCAGTTGTTTCAGAATTCAATGTCAAAAAGCATACATGGGTGATTGAGAATGGAAATACTCGGCACTTTTGGGCACAAGCATATTTAATCAGTTATTTTTTTTACCAATATTCGCTCAACACAAAGGTGCGAGTCTATGAATGCTTCACTCACGATTGCACTGAAACACAATAAGACATATTTAGATATTGTTCGTGCAATTTAAGAAGGAATTAGTATAATGCGTATGAACGATTTGAAATCGGATTACTTAAGTTCCCAGACGAAGCCCTTCCAGATCACAAAACTGATTGACCTTGAAAGCCATGCTGTTGAGATTTATACGCGTGAATCTTTTCGTTTGTTCCAAGAAGAACTATAACAGGAGACATTGTACCGGATTCAGGAAGAGATTCAGTCCTTATCAAATGAATGTCAAAATTATATTTTGACAAAGTAAAAAGAAAAAAATGAGACATTTGAAGTCATTTTTGATTTCGTACGAAAACCCTAAATTACTCGTATAGAAAATTCGAGACCTTCGGACTTCCATGTCGCCATCAACTTCACGTTTTGAAGCACTTGGATTACACACATTTTCCCGGGTATTTGATTCAAAGTAGGTGGACTAAGGATGAGAAGACTTGTGCACCCAATTTTGTTGACTTGAATGTGCCTCCAGAAGTCATGCAAATGGCAAGGTTCGCTGCTCTACGTGCAACATCAAGTCGGTTATGCTACATTGCATCAAAGACAGATGCATCTTTCAAAACCGCAAGAGATGAGATAAAAAGACTAACAGCAGAATTTGAAAACTCATTTGGTTTGAATGATTCAGTCAACCGGAGCAGTGTAGTAAACAACATTCGCGGCCCTCAACGAAAACAATGCAAGCGAAAAGAAGTACCAAAGAACAAGGTCGAGAATAAAATTAGGCGATGTGGGTTCTGAAAAGGTGAGGGACATAATAAACTAACATGTCCTCAAGTCAAGCTCAGTTTGGAAACAAGAACACAACCTACATCAACTGATATTTTTGAAGACGAAATGGAATGGCCATTCAGTCCCACACATGATGACAATTATGTTAGTGACATTTGGAATAATGCAGACAACGATCTCCATATATCGTAAGTATCAACATGTATAAGAAACATGTACAACAACCTATTGCTAACTTTTTTTCATCTCATACATAATTACATTCAGATACAACAACTTATTGCTGATTTTTCTCATCTCATACATAATTACTCCTACTATGTATAAGAAACATGTACAATAACCTAGTGCTAACTTTTCTCATCTCATACATAATTACATTCAGATACAAAATTATAAATCGAATATAAAATTTCCTTACATTGACATCATCATGCCCTTTTGTTATTCATGTGTCCGATGACAGCTCTTGTAACCTCATCTCTTAGTTTATTTTGATCATGGCTTACGAGATCGTTTAATATTCACGTATGATCCCGTTCTCCAACAATCTATATTCAAATTGTCATACCTTAACTATTGTAAACCACAGCATTGAATCTAGGACTTTTAACAATTTAACCACAAACTAATTTTTCATTCCACTTACAAAATCACCAGTTGCCCCTATAGAACCAATCGATTCCATCCGCATAATCACATATATGTCGTAATCATATGTATTACAAAATTTGAATACCACGCATGTCAATTATGAAACCTGCATAAATTGTGCTTTCTATTTATGATAATATCTTATACCCATTCAATTGCTCATTAATCTTATGCTCCACAAATTTGAATTGTTTCAATGCGACCTTTAGACGGCCACATGCTTCTACCCAAATGTGTTGCTTATTATATCTATCTAATATTATCATCTGCATTAAAAATATCAAGTTATGATCCAAACAAATTATGCATTATAATTTACATAATTTCCTTTCATACATACCAATCTCTTAGCATCCTTTACTCTCAGTTTGGCCGATGGAGATGAAAATAGACTATCATATATCGTTGCAACATGTTCTGCCATATCCAACACCAACAAATACCAATGGGAACCCTCGTAGTTTATTGTGATCAGGATCTGCAATAAATTTCACACCCAATTTGACAAAATTCAACATTATATATCCGAAAACATCATTTGCAATTCGTATGGTGTCTTACCTTGTCACACTAGGTGAATTTCACATAGTCATCCAATATGGAACCCCAAAAGCTCGCAAGACCAGCAACAATTACGTTGACGTTGGCATCTAACACCTGTTGATGTATTTATGTGACAATATTATTAATTTACCGTCTATAACACTACTTTTCAACATTTATTAATTTAACTCACCACTAAGTGGTATGAAGGTAGCCAGTCTTCCCGAATAACTTTTTCGACTCATAAACTAATGTTCAGCCGACCAAATCAATAACCTAAGAAAAACAATTAAACAATCAGAACATATTCACTCACTAGGTTTTAATATTTTTTACTTTCTACTTACCGCACGCCAACCCATTCCATAGGCTTCAACATTGCAACGTCGGATACATTAGCGAATTGATTTCCCATTGAGATTATAACATGTCTATATGAAGCATTAGGATTAATATTTTGTAATAAAATATTTAAATATTATTCACAAAGCAATATATTTCACTCACGACGATTCTAACCACTATTCCATAAATATCACACATTGTAGCCTCGTAACCACCAATTCCGCTTGAAATTTCCGCTTTTTCAACCTACAATTTTGCATACAAATTTTTGTCACAACAACATAATAAAAATCAAATTAAGTTTTCTTTTATTCAGCTTACCTTCTGCTTCTTCTTCTTCGGTGCAGGATATTTTGAATCTAAATCTGCATCAATAACACTCTCCGGTGTATAAATCACATCCACATCCTCCTCTTCACTTCCTCCATCTTTTCTTCTTATATTTTTTCAATTCATCATATTTCTCCTCTACATAACTCTTTATCTCTGTTATTTCACCCTTCATTTTCTCATTCATCCAAGTTTTTCTCAACCACTCCCTTCACCCCCGTAAGTTCACCCCTCAAATCCACAACTTCCTTCACCACTCCATCAATTTTTCCACCCATCACCATCTTAACTTCACCCCTCAACTCCACAACTCCATCTATTTTTCCACCCACTTCCCCCTTAAGCCTCTCAATTGCCTCTTCGACTCTTGATTGTCTTTGCAAAATATCAAAAAGGAATTTTTTTACAGCTGCCAATTCAGACATCAAAATGTTGATTTTACTCTATTTTCCCTCACCGTCATCCCCCTACTACCATCTCTTCTTCCCTCTCCTCTTTCTCCGCTGCCTCCACTTTCTCCTCTGTCTTAAATTACAATTTTAAGACATTGATTATATTCTTAATATTATTTAATTACATTTATTACCCTTTCTTGCTTCCTTGGTCTATCAAACTTCAACTTCGCCATCACTCTAACCACCTCTTCCTTCCCCCATGCACGGATGCGTGCCACTCCGGTTCTTTATATGACGGCACACTATTAAGGTCCAACCAAAAATCGAACAGTGCAACCTGCATTTATAATTAAATTTATCATTTTATATAATAATTATACTATCATTTTATATATAAAACAAAAACGTTCTTCAACACATTTACCTCTAAGATTGCTATATACTCTTTGAGGTATCTCTGAGAGCCCTTTTAAAAGTTGATTATTGATTTAATCAATCTCGAATGAACATATTTGGCCCAACTGAATTCACCTTTCAAGCCTTCATCGCAAATCAGCTTCATATTATCCTTGCTCGTTGATGTATCACCCGTTGGACAAAAAAAGATCTCGGTAAGGTACAATAGAAGTCGAACCTTCAGGTCATCCCCCTCGTAAAATCCACTTTTGATTTCCTCTTCAAGTTCAGCATATGTCACCTTGTGCTTCAAATCATAGTTGGAAGCAAGTGATTTCCTGCTCTTATTCTTACTGACTTCTACAACACTTTTACCTTTATTTGAAACCCCCAATACGACTGCAGTACATGGGACCCCCAGAGGAAATGAATAATCACCCTATTTAACCATACATGATTGGACATCAAATTGCTCCATCAAGGATCGACACAATTCCCTTCGAATTGGTCGATCCCTCACTCCTATCAATGATCCAAACCTCATTTCTTCCAGCACATTTAATTGCTCCTTCTCCTTAATGTGTTCAATTAATGAATTCACTCTTTTTATGCTGCACCTTTTTGACACTTCCTACATTTTTTAATAATATATAATGTTATTGTTCTTATATATCTTGTATCAAAGTATTTACAAGTTTAATATTCCTTCTTTTCATGTGCTTTCCTCCAAGCTTTGTAATCTTGTCTATCCATCTTTGATCGTGTTAAGTAAGGTTCCTTCTCAGCATCACTCATAGACTTCTATTTCTCCAACACATCATCTCTCACCTAAAATTAAGCATAAACATTTCTTAATCAATACATTAACACTAAATAATACTCAATGTCAATTTCATTTTACATATTGAACCGATGTGATTGCCAGCTTCCTTCATCCTTTAGCATTCGGTCATACTGTCAACATTTAAAATTTGTTATCAATTTAAAGTTCTTAAATACTTTAATCCAATTATCATTTCAACAATAATAACAAAAATACATTGATACTTACTAGAAGTACATATATCCACCATTTGGTTGCTTTCGACTCTCGGCCTCAATTTCAAAGTCATCTTCGCTACCAACAATTTCAAGATTTGTTGACTTCATTTTTCCTTCATATATTAGTTTACGCAAATCAAAATCAAATACTGGTTACATACACTTTATTCAATATGCAAATATCGATAACTACTCTTATAGTAAAACGGTTTCCTTCAGAAGAATTTGAATGGCCACTACCATAAGTATCGACACATTTATACAACCTACAATATCATTTTCTACCTATAATATTATATACATGTATCCATATTTATTTTCTACCTATAATATTATATAATCAGTCCCAAATCCTTCTTGGCTTCCATTCAAAATCCCCAAACCAAACCCAAAAACCCTAATTCTTATTTCCTTCAAACGAATAGGAACACTCAATACTCCAAGTATCGGCACATTTATACAACCTATAATATCATTTTCTACCTATAATATTTAATAAAAGTATCCATATTTATCATCTACCTAGAATATCACTTTCTACTTGTAATCAGTTATAAATGCCTCTTTACTTCCAAAACCCAAAACAACACATAATACCCCTATTTTTTATTACTGTAATAATAAAAAACTAGAGTTTCGACAACGTACTTTTCGATTCGACTGCAACAACAAACAAACAAACTTCGCTTTAAAAACGCCTTCTGAAATGCAGCAACAATTACGCTTCGATTTCTCAAAAACTCGGTCGTGTTCTATCTATTTCAGAGGAAATTTAGCTATGCCTTTTATATTTTAACCGGATATGTTATTTATATTTAATCGATACAACTACCAAAGTGTCGATACTTTTATGTCATGTGTCGATACTTTCGATAGGATATTTATCTATTTCTTTAAAAAGTATCGATAATATTTTACTCGTACTTATTAAAGTATCGACACTTTCAACATATCTGGTAGCGCTTTACCGGTTTTGTCATTTCGAGACCGGTTTTGTCATATTTTTACTGTTATATTATTATGGATCGATATATTTTTATAAAATATCGACAATTTATTGGCTCTATTATTGCATCTCTTTTAAATTCCAAAAGTGTCGATACTTATATTAAAGTATCGACACTTTCAACATATCCAGTAGCGTTTTACCAATTTTGTCATATTTTTACATGTTATATTGTTATGGATCGATACATTTTTATAAAGTATCGACACTTTATAGGCGCTATTACTGCTTCTCTTTTAAATTCCAAAAGTGTCGATATTTATATTAAAGTATCGACACTTTCAACATATCGGTAGCGCTTTACCGGTTTTGTCATTTCTAGACGGTTTTGTCATATTTTACCTATTATATTATTATGGATCGATACATTTTTATAAAGTATCGACACTTTATACGCGCTATTACTGCTTATCTTTTAAATTCCATAAGTGTCGATACTTATTTCAATAGAATCAATACTTTAAACATATTAGTAATGTTTTACCGGTTTTGTCATAATGAAATCGGTTTGATCATATTTTTACCTGTTATACTGTTATGAATCGATATATTTTTATTTGTATCGATACATACCGACAAGCTAAGTTTGCCGGTTGTCAAATTTTTTAATATTTCTTCATGATTTCCACCTACAACATTATTATTACTTAACATTTCGATAGCTAAACCAAATTTATTAAATATCTTTTAATACATCCGATAATATCATATATTAACTGTATATTAATCCGTCTTTCTTGAGATAACCATGTGGATAATCCTTTTTCATAATTCACACTTTCAGAACCCACCAACCAAAGTTGCAGCCCTGCCTACAAAATCTGAAAAAGAAAGGCAAAATGGGAAAAATGCAAAGGAAAACAGGTAATGGGACAGCCCCGACATAAAAGATAATGATTCCAGATTGTGTTTTCGTTTTGTAGTGAAAAAGCCAGCTGGGCTTATACATCTGTTCTTAGCAGTTTCATCTACTTGAAAGGTTAGCTCATCAAAAGTAACAATTGTTCTTTAAAATGCTCATCAAGCTCACATATTTGAAAAAAAAAAAGTTACGAATATGTATATGAAATTATTTTTTTGAAGAGGACAATTTTTATAATAAATTAATTAATGAATGAATTAAATATCAATAATTTTATATAAAAAATTACTATAAAAAGTTTTGGTATCATTTTTAAGGGTTCACGAGTTAGAGGGGTTTATAGAATGGGATTGATTTATTTAAGCATGAATATCTTATACAGATGTAATTGTTTGAATTCGAGTTTTTTTAGGAAGAATGATATTTATTTTTATCATTGAAACTACTTAATTAGATTATCTTTTATGCATAACCATTTTAACCTACTTTTTAATATGTATAGTAGGTTTAATATAAAAATAAGTGTTCAAATTATAATATATATCTTAAGTGCGTAAAGAATTTTTATTTAAAATATGTACCTAATGCTTCAAATATTATATTTTTAGGTGGTCACGTTGTAACGGCCGTTAAAAAATCATTATATGGCACATATGCGCTTATAATTTTTTTAAAATTCTTATTTTCAAAAAAAAAAATAAATAAAATTTAAAAATATTTTTCAGAAATACAAAATAACCCAGGAAGAAAACCGTCATGATAGTTAATGCCACGTCATTTTTTAAAAATTATTAATTGGTGCAAAGTTAAAATGGTGAAATGCAGAAGGACTATTCGAACCTGGGTCTCTTAACATACCGCTTCTCGATATGCCACCGTGCTAGGCGATTAGCTCAAGTAATTTGTGAAACAAAATGTATTTAACATTTTTCGTCTGAATTTCATTAAAAACAAAAACTGAACAATTTCACACTCAAATTCAATAAGAAATACTTTAAAACCATAAAAACAGACTTGACTGCTCCTCAAATGATGGCAGTCAAGTTCAAGTCCTCAAACAGCATCAAATAACCAACATTCATAACCATTTGTCTAATGCCTTTGTGCCAAAGAAAGATATTTTATTTTCTGCAATTGTAGAATAACATAAAAAACTCTGTTTTCATCCTTTACAAAAATCAAAATGAAATCATGATTAAAAACAATGGCATGAAATTGGTACCTGAAGCAACTTATGAGTGGTTCTAGGGGGCTTAGCTTCCTCCTCTGCTACTATTTCATTTCCTTTTCCTTTCTTCTTCGTTTCCTTTGTCCTTTTATTCTAAAAAAAACCAATTAAAAAAATCTTTAAAACAAATAATCGAACATTCAAAAACCCAATAGAACAAAGAGGGAAAAGAATCCACCTTTGCCTCATAACTCTCTTGTCTTCAGCTGTCAAACCACTTCCTGATTCTGCAAAAAAGAAACACACACACACACACACACATGAAAGCCAAGTTTTGCGGTGAAAAGAAGGGAACTAAAGACAGAATTGATGATAAAAAGAAAGTGGGTTTTGCTTAACTGTAAGAAAAGAGGATAATGGAGGAGCCCTTTTTGGTGTTGGTGGGTTCCGAGGAGATATTGAAGGTAAGAGGATTTGCAGTTAAAAAAGAGTGCTTTTTGTTGGTGTCGTTGTTGTTAGAGTAGAAGTTGAAGTGTAAGGGAGAGAAAATTTATGTGGATGAAACAGCCATTTCGTTTTTGGAGTTTGAGTTTTCGATTTCAATGGTTACGGAGTGAAGGTATGTTGAAGGTAAGAGGATTTGCAGTTAAAAAACAAAACATTCAGTCGAACCTGTCATAAAAAATGGGATACATCTAAAAGAGATAGGAAAAAACTGGTTTATGACGTATTTTATGTTTTTTAAATGAAATTCAGATGAAATAATGAATGTTAAATAGAATTTGTTTCATAAGTTACATGAGAAAATAGCTGAGAAACCTAGGTTCAAATCCTTCTTCATACATTTCATCATTTTAATTTTGCAACAATCAGAGTGTTACTCTTTGATTGGTTCGAATTAATAATTCTAGACACTCGTTTTTGTTCGAATTTTTTTAAATATTATTTATTTATTTATTATTATAATTATTATAATTATAATTATATTATTATTTATTATTTATTTTATTTTGCAGGCACCTACTATTATCTTAACTACAAACAGCCCACTACCCCCGCCTACTTATTACACTACTCTCCACACGCCACTTCAGGTGCTATAGGATCACTGTTAAGCACCACGATTTTGCACCCTCTCAATACCTGCGAAACCAAGTATCAAGCCGAGGTCAAGCCCATGTCAACGTTTTTTCTTCTCCTTTCTGAGATGGCCCGTACGAAGCAAACTGCTCGTAAGTCTACCGGCGGCAAGGAAGCAGCTTGCCACTAAGGCTGCTCGCAAGTCGGCACCGACGACAGGAGGCGTGAAGAAGCCTCACCGATATCATCCTGGATCTGTAGCTCTACGTGAAATCCAGCCATGCAGTATTGGCGTTGCAAGAGACAGCAGAGGCGTACCTGGTTGGATTGTTTGAAGATACCAACCTTTGCGCCATCCATGCTAAACGTGTTACAATCATGCCCAAGGACATTCAACTTGCCAGGAGGATTACGAGGTGAAAGGTGGGAATGTTTTGCATTTAGTTTTAAAGCTTTTCGATTTTTTGCTCATAACTGTGCGGACAAGTTGCGGGAAAGAACTCGAATTGCATGTTAATAGGAATAAAAATATTGGGTATTTGATACAAATGATAGCTTGAAACGGAAAAAACCCTTGTGGCTGTCGATGAATTAGAGATATTCTTTAATGGGATCTGTTATGATGCTTATTGTTTTTGAAAGTCCAGAATGTTTGTTTCCATTGCCATGTGAAATTTTGTTCACTCACAGGAAACTGAAATTAGATCATGGATACGGTTTAATGGGAATTAGCTTATTTTTTTAGAATTAATAGTTTGAAATATTCCCGTTCTGTTTGTTTAAGCATGAATAAAATGAAATTTGATATGTTTGTTACACTGTTGGTCCTTGTACCAACGAGAGAGTTTTTAATATTTTTTTATTTTTGTTTTATTTTTTTAATTTATTTTAATTTTTCCTTTGATTTATTTAATGTTTATTCATTATTTTTCATCACACATTTTCGACTTTTTAGAAGAAATTTCAATCAATTAAAGGTAAGTAATTTAAATCGAATTTTAAATTTCAATTTTAATTTTAATTTTCGTAACTAAGGCAACCAACAAATTAATTGGTACCAAAGGGCAGTACAAGGGTGCTAATCCTTCGTTGACTGTAACTGACTCCGAACTCGACATATTTCTGGTAAAACGTAGATCAAGTAAGAGGGTGTCCGATCCACCTAAATATTTTTAAAATGATAGGTGGCGACTCTAACGTTTTATTCAAGTCGAAGCCCAATTCCGGGGCCCAACCGAAAGACGACCGTGACAATAATATAGAACATATAAATAATAATTTTTAAAAAATGACGTGGTAGTACCACGTTAGCAATCTGGATGACGTGGACGTCCACGTAAACTTTATCCTCCACTCGTGCGCGATACATCAACATCCGACGTTGACCGTCAGTAGACTAACGGTTTTTATCTAGCGTGGGTTATTTTTTAATCCAAAAATAAACATTCGGTACTCAAATGTTCCAGAAAAAATAACACAAGTAAATTCTACACTACTATCAAACGTTAGGTTATTTTGTTATATTATGTCAAATAAAAAACCCTAATTTTCCAACCCTTCCCCATGCATTTCTCCCCTCCCAAGTCCCCTGCCGCTAGCCTGCTAAATTCCCCCTTTCCTGTTCAGCAACTTGGGGCCACCCCAACCCCGTATATGAACACTGGCGAACATATTTCTCGATTCAATTGGAATTTTGGGATTTAGAGTTTTCAGATTTGGAGATTTGAGTTTTAAAATTTAGGGATTTTGACAATAATATTGAGAGAAGAAGTTAGGGATTTCAATCGGCGGCATTAGATCGATCGGCGGTGTTCTAAAAGCTGGCGAGGATAAGGAGGACTGAATTAGGGATTTTAGAGATTTTAAGTATTTTTATTTTATAAAATTAATTTTTTAAAAATATATATAATTTTAAGCTTCTATTTTAAATAAAAAAACATTAAAATTTTATAAACGTGATATGTGTCAACTAATGATTTTTTAACGATTGTTATATCGTAGATACTTATTTTGAGTGAAAAAATTTTTAGGCTAATAAAGTTAACTTAAAGTATTGTTTAGAGACTTATTTTTACCTTAAACCTTTATATTATTGTATTATATATTACTATAAATTAAATTTTGTATGATAAATTATGGGTGTAATTTTTTTCTTAAACCTATTTTAATGATTTCATCATAATTATAAACATCTGAAAATTTTAAATAAATTTTTTAAATTTGAATGAATAATTTAATTTTTGAATAAATTTAACAAAATGAAAGGAAAAAACCAAAAAGGAAGAAGATCTGCCACTCCCCCACATATGGTGCAATGATGAAAGGTATGTCCTTGGTTCAGCCACGTACATCCTTTTCCTTGGCATGGAAAGGTGTGAATTCTATTAACCATTTTCAGATATTAAAGCTGTTTTATTCTCTTTGTTGAAGCCACGGTGAATCCCACTGGTAAGACGATGCTAATCATTCATGCAAACTATTTTCCTCGGTCACGGTTAACTGAGTTGCAACTGTTGAGCACGTCCAACTGTGGTCTTTCTGGACCTATACATTCTTCACTTTCGAAGCTCCGATCTATCTCGGTCATTCGCTTGGACATGAACAACTTCTCTGCTTTGGCTCCTCGATTCTTTCCAGAATTCCCAAATGCGAGGGCAAGTCCTGATGTCTGTATTCGAGCTCCGAGATCCCGAATTTCTGTCACTCTCTTCAAACAACTTCAGTGGTTTGATCCAATGAGTGCCTTTCAGAATCTGAGCAATCAAATGCAAGTTATAAGGACCTTTGATGGATATAACTTGTAATGTTAGTATTCTTTACATGCACGGCAAACAAATGCATAGGCAAATCCTATTTCTTCAAGTTGAACTCTGGTTTACAGGATCAGACTAGTGACTACTGTCGGAACCGTCTTACGGGTGGGTCGGAATTGGGCTTCGACTTGAAATAATAGGTTAGAGTCGCCACCGATCATTTTAAAAACATTTAGGTAGATCAGACACCATCTTACTGATCTGCGTTTTACCGGAAATGTGTCGGGTTCGGGAGTCTGTACGATCAAGGAATGATTAGCACCCTTGAATTGTCCTTTCGGTACCAATTAATTTATCGTTGTCTTAAATCACGAAAATTAAAATTAAAATTTAAAAATCCGATTCGAATTGCTTACCTATGATCGATTGAAATTAACACTGAGAATGCCAAAAAAATGTTAGATGGTTAAACAAAAATATATACGAAGGAAATATATATATATATATATATATATATATATATATATATATATAATAATAAAATAAAATTGATGACAATGATACACAAAAGTTAGTAGAAAAGTAAGATAATGGAAAAATAATCAAATAATAATAAAATAAAGTCAAAATAATAAAAAAGGCTAGTTTTAAAAAAAGGATGAAAATAAGGGGAAAAATAGAAAAATTAAATTAAAACCGTGAAAAAAATAAAAAGAAAAAAACAGAAAGGACTAAATCGAAAATATCAAAGATGCAATGCTCGAAATAACAGAAAAAAACATTATTTAATGCCCATAATAAAATATTACAAGCAATGGAAGGACCCGGAGTGTAATTAACCCCTCTGTTAAAACACGCAGACCCCACCCCTTAAATGATGTCATTTTGCGCAGTATAAATACCCTTCCCTTAAGCCAAAACGACTCATTCTCCCCCATTTGTTCACTTTGTCCTCTCTCACAACAAATGAGAGATAAATCTCTCATCTCACCTCTCTCTAAAGCTCTCCACTAGAGGGAGATCGAGCATCAGCCGGCCACCGATCGCCGATGCCAGCAGCCACCGCCGGAATTTAGATTTTTACCCCAAATCGTAGATCATTAAACCCTCAATCCAAATCTGAGCCCCACTCGTCCAAAAAACTATCACCCGTTATAGTTCTAGGAAAATACTCTAAAAAATTTAGGAGATCCGGTGGCCCTTCAACTCCTCGGTGGTATGAACTTTTCCCGAATCTAGATCGGCCCTTTTTCGTTTGTTTTTTTTTCGTTTTTTTGTAAGGCTTTATTTTGATTGCTTCTTTTGTGTTGAGGTTTTGGTTCTTGGTTTTCTGCGTTGATGGTTGTTCGATTGTGATGATGGCTCAGTTGCCTCGTTCTTGTGTTCGATGTTGGCTGTTGTCAACTATTTCTCGGTGTTGTTCTTTCGCGACTGCGGGTGTTAGGGTTCTCGATGATGCTTGATTTACTCTTGTTCCCCCTTTGCATGACCTTATGGGGCTTTTATAGCTCAGTTTTGGTCGTTTCTAGCCCCAAAATGGTTAGGGTTGTTCCGAGATCTTCGTGCATGTGTGACTGGTCATCCCGGGATGGGTCAGTCCTAGGATCGACCTGCTGTTCCGGTGTTGACTCCGGATTATGCAACGCTGAACTTGAACTGTGAAAACCCTAGCATACGGGTTTTGTTTCTGGGTTGGGTCAGACCCCAAACCTATTGAACTTCTACTAGACCATTTGGACTGGATTATTGGACCCAATTCTTCAG